AACTGGATAAAACTGAATATACCTCCCTCAACACTATGACTAATACATTCTGTTATGTGATGGGGAAGAAAATATAGAGTACATTTTCGTGTTTTCTTCCAGATGGTATCATAATTAGCCTAGATCTTCTGGAGGATAACAACACTTGCTTTACATTATTTTACCAGAGACCAAACAAAACACGAAGAGCTTACTAGTGTATATTATACCATCCTCACCCACATATTCTATTCAGTTTTCATTTTGCATGTTGTTTTCACATTTACATGGAACGTTGGCACAGACTTTAATGGAACTTGAATAAAAGATAGAAAGTTAGAAGAGTTATATATTAAAAGCCCTGAGGTCACGTCCTTATGTATGTCTTTTATTCAAGATCCATGATAAGTTACCACATAAACCTAAGCAACAAACAACACGAGAACAGTAAAGTGTCAACAAAACAATAATTGAAATTCAAAATTGATAAAGCTAGGGTAAAGTATGGACAAAGGAAATATGAACATGGAGACCCTTGAAAAAGTACAAGGAGAATAAGACCAGGTGTTCTGGAAGGGAAAGCGTATTCTGCTTCACTGACAACACCGCCGTCTAAATCCAAGTCAAATCCAATTTATGTTAAGTTCTCACATTAAGAACTCGGGTAGTGACAACAAAACCACAAGGTAATCCAATGAGCACAATCAAAAACACAAAACCTCATATAACACAAATAAATAGCATATTTCCCTGTGAGAGCTTGATGGCGTCCATAAAACTTGAAAATATTAATACACATATAAAATAATAAATAATTTTGAAACAAGTTATTTCAACTTATATTAAACCCTCTTGTTTGCCCGGATGTTCTCACGCAGGGGGTCTTATTGCGGGAGGAAACCGGAGTACCCGGAGAAAACCCACGTGGTCGGGCAGGTGACCCCATACCTTTTCATACCTGATTGGGAAATCAAACCCAAGCCGCCATGATGAAAGGCAAGTATGCTATCCATTGCACCACCCAACCACAATAATATTATTATACAACACATCTGTGTAAATAACAAATTTGTCTGATGTATTATATTTACCCCAAAATATTTGTATATATAGGTATATAGGTAGACATTTTTTTCTATGGACATGACCAAAATATGTAAACTATGCTGCACGAAAAGGGGCGGGCTAATTAGTGAACACCGGTTTCCTCACCAGTATATATATACTACACACATCCTTATGTATCAGCCGAACACCACCTTATCTATAGTTAAGGTAGCCACCTTAACTAGACTGTTGACTGGTCTGACAAGTTTAGAAAAGCTCATCAATATGGGTTTTGTATGCTCAGAAAGTCTATAAAAATATATATGCTTGTAGCCATGTTTAAACTCATTAACATATTTGTTAGAACGTTTTACAGCTCAATGAGTCAGATCTGATAGTATATATTGTAACAAGCCATATGAAGCTAGTCAGAACTTTACTGTATGATCAGCTTACATGTATTACACCTGCATATCTGAAACTTTTTTAGGTTTGCTGGTGTGTAATTGTGCATGTTTTGTGATCTAATGGGTGAAAGATCCACAAACCTTTAAGATTTCAGTCAAAATAACATCCTTGCATTTTAAAACCGCCCACATTATCATGTAAGTACTATATGAATGTTGCATCAATTTTAACTCATTCACCCCTGAAGACACATTTGAACTCTTCCAATTCAAAGGTTGGAATAGTCCATTATGAAATTTCAGGTGTGAATGAGTTAAAGTGATAAAATGATGTCATATACCAACAAACTAAAGATAGAAGAATTACATATTGAGAATACGGTGGTCATATCCTTACAGCTACAACTTGAAAGGATCACCGTAACACACTGTAAAACTGTACTGGAATGTATACAAAAGGTAACGTAAGTGGCAGAACAGGTCGAGCTATTAACAGAAGAGGTAGGAGGCATACAGGGTTGAGATAGCTGGTGGTGGTTAAGATCACGAAAACGGATAAAAGAAATGATTTTCAGTTGATGGAACAGGAAACTGGAAAAATATCTGAACATACATCTGTCTCTCCCCCTCTCTCTGATATTTTTTATTAAATTCAACTTAACTCATTCACCCCTGAAGACACAATCTGCACTCAAAGATTGGAATAGTTCATTATGAAATTTCAAGGGTGAATAAGTTAATGCAAAGTCTAAGCAAAGACTTTAGGTCACAGTGACCTATATTTAATATAATAATTTAGTACTCCTCAAGATATATCCACAACTGTATTAAGTTTGAAAACTGTGGTTCTCAGTTTCAAAATACTGGTAGTGGAGCTAAACAGCAACAGATAACAACCCCGCGACCCTTCCGTTAATATGGCCGAGGCATACAGACAACCCAAATCCTGTCTTCCCCACAGGACAGACCAGATCCCTCAGTCAGGCTCATAATTACCCTGGACACCCACAAAGATCACATGCCCCAGACTGGACCACATACAATAGTTGTATAACGGAGGAACATTAATCATCATCTTCAGACACTTCAAGATGTTTTTTCACCAGTTTTTTTACAATTATAATTATGTATAATCATCTTTTTCCTTCTAAAACATGACACTTTGTTAAAGATGGTTAATCTTGTAATAGTATTTGAACAGGACAATAGGTATCATCTTTGGCACTAAATCAACAGTGTAAGCGTGTCTACACTCCCTGGAGTATCATATTTGTGGCAGGTCTATCTGTGTTTTGGCAGATCAGTCATCACTATCAAGTGTGCACATATTTTCTGTACCTCATATCAAACAGATCAGGCCCTCACAGTGGTATACACATTATCCAAGGAAATGTTTACATAACACACCAAAGTCATTCTAATTAACACCCTTCTCCACAGTGTCCAAAAACTAAGAGATCATTTGACATAGCTATAAAGTGCTGAATTACTTTTTGTGAGCCAACAGTTCCTTTAGTGTTAATTCCCCTTATATTGTGTAAATACGTGATATTTAGCACTGAAAACATCCCCACCCCCTCCCAATGTGTTGTGTAATATACTGTTGACATATCCCCCCACACCAGTGCTAAATACACTGTTGATCCCTCCTCCCTCTACACATACACCAAGTGTAAATTGTTTGTTTTACCCCTCCCCTTCCTCTCTTCTCTCCTTCCTCTACACACCAGTGTTAAATAAAGTGCTGATCGAGACCCATCCCCCTTCTCCCTCTCCTCCCCGTACATATATATACCCAGTACTTTTGACCTCTCCCTACCTCTCACTCTCTCTCCTTCCCCTACAGACACCTCTCTCTCTCTCCTTCCCCTACTCATACATCCAGTGTAAATATACTTTTGACCCCGCCCTACCTCTCACTCTCTCTCCTTCCCCTACATAGACCAGTGTAAAATGTACTATTAAGAGTACATCTTGTTGTGTAATACAGGTTACTGTAGTGTTGAACCACCATCCCCTCCCCCACTATTGTGTACTTGAATTGTTGTAATCCCTCTCCCCCACCCCCTTTAGTTGTATAAAATACAAGTTTTATCTTTCTATCACAAAACTCCCTCCCCTTTCCCATGTAATATTCTGTGAGATCAGAAACTATATCCGTCCTTCATGTCTACAATCTTCATTAAAAAAACTTTCATCTTACTAAATGACCAACCCATTGTTAAGTGCTTCCAGCTTCCTTTCCTACATTTTGTGTATACGTATATATATTGCATGCTTACATACTTTCATTCAGCCATATCCCTACAACCAAATGTGTTAAAATGGAACACTATCCGACAACCATAACCAAATAGTGTGTCATAATACCCAAATAAATGCACATGGTATAAACAAATTAAGTTTATAGTACAGGGCTGATGTCTTGATCAAATACATTATCACCATCAGACCAGTGTAGAATATTAATGGGAAATTACTACACTATCTATAGTGTCTCGATCTTCCTCACCCAGGTACATCTTTATACTTATAGCCCCGGTAATTATCCCTGAAAACATCACTCATCTGTGCAAGTTATCACACGGCTGTAAGAAGGTCTCTGATCTATAACCAACACACTTACTAGTTAAATGTTGCATACATAAGCATACAACTCATCCGTAACCTGTGATTGGCTACACATGCAGTAAGCTGAAGGTATTTTGAGGTAAAGTTCCCTTGAGAACCATAGTACACACAAGTCATTGCTGAGCCATAATATATTTAGGTACATGTAGTTTGTAAATTTAAACATTAACTATTTAAATTTAAACATAAACTATTTGAATCATTATCAACAGCAATATAAACAGTATATATCTGCAGGGCAAATACATACATGGAGATGTATTTTAGAATTAAAAAAATAAATCTGCATTTGTGAAAGCATTATCCCCTATGTGGACAGCTATACACTTTGGTATCCTTTTATCATCTAGAACTTTGTGGAGATTTTAGTAAAAGTACTAGCAGTGCACAGCTTTGATAAGATGTAACTACAATTACAGAAATACCTGCGCAGGAAAAGGAATTATAAATCGTCCGGGGAAACTTACTATTAGAGAAAGTGCACTATTTCTGCACTGTTTTTATACCATTAAAAGGAATCCACAATATTTATCATCAGATGGATCACATCAGCTGAAGGGCTACACATTAATTATTTATAGCTGGTGTTTGGTCAGTACCAGAAACAGCATCTCCATATTGACTTATAACATCCGAGCCTGTTATAAATTGTGTTGGAACACTCCTAAACACGGTACATTACATGATATATCCCAGACAGAATACCTGGATGTCAGCACAAACGTATCAATGATGCACCATATATAACACAGAAATAGTCTCCCTGGTACACACCGCAGTAAATATGTTCTCTGTAGCTTGGTTATAACCACACCCTCTCCATCAGACAACTAGCCTGGCCGATGATCAGCCGAATCCTGTGTGGTGCGAGAAATATATGTGTATGCAGCTCAGAAAAACAAAATAAACATCCTGTTTTTGGGTTGGGTTACTCACTTGGGTCACACGTCTCAGTAAGGACTCCCTTTTCTCCACACCCTGATGAACCGGAGAAGTAAAGCCCACGCCCCAGTGACCACACGGCACTTACAGACTGTACACTACTACTTCAGGCAGGGACTGATCAGGGAGGAGGCATTGCCAATGAAGCATGCAGTAGATGTACCAGCTGTACTGATAGTAGTATGTATACAGCCCTAGACTGTAGCCTGTATAGAGATGATGGTGGTGGAACCCACTACAACAGGACTGGATACATTATGCTGATGCATTCCTTGAATCATTCCCCGGCTTGGCCTGATGGGAAACATAGACTGTCTGCTGTCATGTGTAATCAATACTTAATACATCATAACAATATTTCTCTCCCTCTATCAGGCACTGTTTATACCTCGTCATGTTTCTTAACTTGAGTAGATAGACATAATGTGAACCTTTCGTATAATAAAGCTATAGAAATGTTCAATGAAATGAAATAGTTGCTAAATCCCATTTCTACCAGGCCTTTATTGATAGAAAGTATCACAGTATTTTTTCAATAAAATATAGATAATATATCATAAAATTTCTTATATACTAGAAAATGAAAATTTAAAAAATAAGCCAGTTAAGGAGATGTGACAGGGAAGAGGGTGCTTATGGACAGGTGAAGATGTAGGGGATGGAAAGTAATTGGGGATGGGGAGTGGGGGGTATGGTGTTTCCATTTTAACACTAGTGTAGTACCTGGTGAGTATTAAGGGTCTACACTCTAGTCTGGCCGGCTGTGAACTATGGCCTGTACACTATTTGCTACAATCAATAATGTGTGTGGTAGACAGACTGCTGTTTTTCATTATCAATAGTTAATGTTGTAATGGCTTCTCATTAGATTACCATTGTAAGAAACCATGACTGCAACTTCACAGCAGACAAACCATGCAGCAAAATCTGTTGATTAATTCACACTTCTATCGATTTTCAGGTTGAGGTCAATAATTGTTGAGGTCACTGTTTCTAAGCCACAACAAATGACCTAGCCTGGGGTCACTGACTGCACAGAGCAAACTAAAGGCTTTTATTTCAGTGACCAGGATACGCATATACACTGACCAGTCCATCCAGAATGCCAAAACAGCAGAATCTGGTTACATAATGAACTATTCCAAACTAAAATGAATTGGTAGAGTTTAAAATGTGTCCTCAAGTGTGAATGAGCTAAATCCTATTGCTAATAGAGCAGACTGCGACCAAACTGTTTTACCAATTGCATTCAAGACTGGTGGCATCAAGGCTGGACTTTTGAATCCAACATCAAGACAATGTCGTTATGAAGAAATAACACAAATCCAGTAATATCTGATCTACAGAACCTTAAAGCATTGTTTTCATCAAATGATTTCTGGTTATTGAAATGAAGTGTGCCTCTTCACTATACATCAGCTTTTAACAGAGAAGATACGCCTGCAGGTTATAGCCATTAAATGTGTTGTTATTGTGTTTTTGAGTTAATTTACAAATCAAACAAAACAAAACAACAAATACTACTAAGTCTCCCAAAAACAAAAATATTAAATAATGGATCATAGAACTGTTAAAATAATTTCATTTTCTCATACTGCTAACTTATTTCCTCTATAATCTTTTTCTTCACCCCCCTGTAGTCCTTTTTTCCCCACTTATATATTGAAAAACTTGCACTCTCTGCAGTTTGTTCACTGTATTTTGATTACAGTGTTAATCAAAATGTACCAACATGTACATAGCCTAAACTTGGACGTCCACACAGAATATAATTAGTCAGAAGATGTAGATAAATCTTCCTTATTCCGAAGATTGTTACACAAGGCCTTACTGTGTATCAATAGAATAATGTTTAAACTGCAATCACAACTACAGGAGCAAACAGTAATAAACAAACCTGTTATCAGTGATAATCTGCCAGCCCTAGGAAGAAAGAGCTATGTCTTAGTTTTTGTGGCGACTGTCCGCAGATAACCCACATTTTTTCAGTTTTATTTTGATTTATACAAATTAATACTGGCGACACTGTTACATTAATGTGTCACTCTGATTTTTTTTCTTCACATTGTTAAACCCTTTAACCCCTACATAACGTCAGTAGACTCTACCAAGCATTTATGAGGATGAGTCCATTATGGTCTACAGTGCTGAAAGGGTTAAGAGCACCAGTTGACCCTCAAATTTGTTAGTAGCCGAGTTGCATTTTTTTTCAGTTCTACACTTAAAAACATACAATTGATAGACTGTTCAAGGACATAACTGGACTTGGGAAATTGATCAATGATGAATTGGGAACATACACTATGTAAGGACACATGATGGTGTATCCGATTTAAAAGATAAGGCTGATTAATGGTTTGAAGGGAGATAACTCTAACACAATATGTAAACTTAAGATGTAGCAGAGCATCCTTAAGCCATTATTCTCAGAAAATCACTGAACTGTGCAAATATTGTACTTAAAATTATCTTTAAATATGTAATCACCTGGTAAAATATCTGCTGAAGACGTAATATTCTGGAAACTATGCAGCTTTTTGGCCAACATGTACAGCTTAGGCAACAGATTTACAGATGAATAGAGGTTAATACACACTCACAGACAAACACACACACACACAGACTGGAACCACCAGATGAACAGAACTGGCGAACTTCCAGTTAAAATGATGGAACGGCACAATATCACTTCTAGTTGCTTTTCCATCAATGATAAAGAATATTTGTTATCAGATTTTCAGTTTTTAAGTGTTTCTGGCCTCAGCTGGAGGATCCATAGGGGTTACAAATTGATAATTTAGGCTTTGAATGGCACGAGGCAAAGTTGATCCCTCATATCTTCCTATAGGTCTAATAATATCTGTACAAATCTGGTCACTTAGACCCAGGTAAAATTATCAAAGGGGGAGGGGAATGCCTGAGAACTAATTTGGGTTCTTAAATGTTATCAACAAGCTTGAAAGTTCTCATCGGGGACTGGTTTCAGGGTTGTTTACTAATTCCATTAAACAGATAGCAAAGATAAACATTATGGTAGATATATTAGGCGATCTGCTGAGTTGATGAATATGGTCTTAGAGGAACACACATTGGCAGGATTAACCAATTCACCCCTAAAGTGAGATTTGAACCTGACAAAATCAAAGACTGGGCAAGTCCAGTTTAAACATGTAGGGGTGAATGGTTTAAAGTCAACTGTCAAGTGGAATGTGCGACAGAGGTTAAAAGTCTTTGCTAAGAAGACAAAATAACAAGTACTAGCTGGCAGAGTGTATTTCAAATTTTATAAAGATGATTCAATAATGTCTAGCTTCTCCATCTGTGACAAGTGGATTAACCATTTAACATACATGCATATTGTACGCAGAGAAAATTCAAACACTTCAGTTTTTATTTGACCTTACATTCATGTGCATTCCTACATTTATGAGCATTATTTGTTTAATTTCTGTCAAGATTTCAAGGGCTCTTTAATGTCACTCTGATGAATCATGAATTTAAGTTTATTGAAATGGTAGGAATGTAAAGTAGAATTTGCAGCAATTTAATGTACCCCCTCGTTCTCATTAATATAAGGAGTTCTCCTCAACACCTATAACCCTTGTAGTACAACACGTATCTCTTCTATTATTAAGGATTGTAATATCAGTTTCGCAGTACAGTAATAACAAAATGCCTGCTCAAAGATCGCTGTACCACTGCTAAAAACTGAAACTAAGTGTTGGAAACAGTTTATAATTTTGCCATGACTAAAGCTTTAATTGATAAATCATTTCTGAAATAAAGAACTATATCTTGTGGGACTTTTATTATGAGAAATACTAAAGACGAAATAAACAAAATATAATCAACAACAGTGTTTTGAATGTAAAAATTCAGCGAGGTTAGACCGATATTCGTACCCTGGACTTCAGATTGATATACTATCTCTCTAACCGACTGAGCTTCATGGCTGACAGTTCTAAGTGTCCGGACCCAACAGTGCTATAGTTACAATTATGCAAATGCAATTTAAGGGGAGATAACTGTATATAACAAAACCCACAGTGCAGTGGGACAGGGATCCTTAAGTTGGTAGCAAAAAATAACACAATTTAACCCCAAATTCTTCAACTGTTTACCTCAGTAGTGACAGAGTCATATCTACAAGAATTGGCTAATCTTCGATCAGCTCTATAGTAGGCAAGTAACACATAATCCCATCTCCTCAGAAGTAACAAAAAACTTTTTACTGGAGGAGTAACAAAGTAACATAATTTTAACCCCAACTCTTCAGAAGTAACAGGATGTTTTACCAACATAGTAACAAAGACATATCAACTTGATCTTCAACTACATAGTAACAAAGTAACATATAATCCAATATATCCTAAATAGTAACAAAATGACCTCATACCTCAGTAATAATAGTATTGGTACTTTTTTAAGTGCTCTGTGATAACAAAGTAACATTTTACCTCTATAGTAACAGAAACATTATACGTAAGTTGTAACAAACAAATACAGTATATCCTATAGTACATGCAGTTCTCTCTGTATCATACGTCACTTCATTAGTAGAATTAACCGCTCACAGGACAGTTTATAATGAGACCAACAGGAGGACACTAGACTATCTGGGGATATATTGAAATCATCTTCACCCTCAGACCAATGATTTACATATCTTAACTAGAATCACCAATTCCCCAACATAAATGTTAGAAATATAGCAAAGGAATGCCAGTCTTCAGATCCTCTCTACATGATGTTAGTAGAATACTATTACAGAGCTGCCGGTGTGTACAGTTTTGCCCTTGCAGTACTGGTTATACAGTAGTGTAGGAATGCCAGTCTTTAGATCCCCTCTACAACCCCAGTGTAACACAGTACAGAGAGGAGGGGGGAGGCAGCACATAGTTCACATAGCTAAGGCCACTCTGCTTCCTCAAACAAAACCAGCAACCTTCAAACAAGCACCTTCCACATGGGTGGGGAGGTGCAAAATATACCTTCTGGGGAGAAAAGTGGCTCTGGGACACACAGGACAAAACAAGACACCTACAGCTCGACTTTCCTCACAGGACTGACATACTGTGAAATCAGATATTTTTGGGGGCCTAAAATATTGTGGTTTTCCGCCAAAAAAAACCCCATTTTTTGGGTATATGAATTTGGTGAGTACCCGCTAAAACGGAGAACTGCTTTATATCACATGTTAACAGACAATGGTTTTATATCTGACCTCCACAATACCATTCTTACCATACTTGCTG